GTTTTTCATGGGGCCAGTGCCTCACCCAGCCTCATGGCACTCGCCAGTCCACCACCTGAGCTGGCTAGAGGACTCCAAATTGGTCTGCTTTTCCACCGCCCATCACTGCCACCTCTACACGCTTGTGTGCCACACTATCCATCATGCCGCCCTCGTGTCCCGCCCAGACACCAAGTGGAGGGACCTGCTCAGCGAGGGCATGGCTGGGGCACCCCAGTGGTTGAGTCTGTACTCCACTCTCATCCCACAAGCCACTGGGGACCTCAGCTGGTGGCTCCTCCATGGAGCCATTGCCATGGGCGTGTATGTGGGGAACTTCATGGACACCTCAGTCTCTTGGCCCTTCTGCGGGCAGAGGAAGACCCTGGCACACCCTTGAGTGCACCAGGCTGCAACCCCTCCACCTCCAGAACCTCCTCTTGAGGTTTTGGTTGAATTTCACCCCCCACCTTTTTGATTTTGGTCACTCTATCCATGGCCTCATCAAATCCTGGGACCTCCTGGTCAACCTCCACCTGGTCCTGGCCAAGTGGGCCCTGTACTTGACCAGGAAGGAGGCTCTGTCCGGGAATATGCCCGGAGACTGTGGGGCTGCTTTCTTCTCACTTGTCTGTGCACGTTTTCAGGCAGAGCACCAGTGGGTGGTGTCCACTGGCTTCTTGGATTGAGAAGCTGGTGGGTGCAGCCTGGGGGACTCTGCTTGATGTCCCCCTAGGTGCACTTATTTTCACGTTTTGACCCTTTGACCCACACAACACTCCTATCCTGTTTTTTTTCATTAATTATCCCAAGTATTTTGTTGTGTCATCCATCCATTGGCCCCATATAATAGGGGCTATTAGTTAGCTTAGTGGGCCTTAGGGCCCATGGTATTTGAATGTTACAAATAGATAGGAGCTTCTGAGGCACAGCCACTTGGTATCTGGGTGCACTAGCCCCTTGTGTCAGCTAGACTGCTGAAGCAGCATCCCAAGTTCACTTTTTATAATACCCCAAAATCCAGTGTCTTCCACATTTAGAACAAAAGAGAGAGAGAGGGAGACTGATCAGGTGGGCAATGTTTTATTGTTATTGTGACGGGCTAGCTGGCAGTGACCTAGCCCAGGAGTTTTGAAAGGGCAAAAGATGATTGGAGGACTTGGGATTCTCTTTCCTCACCAATCAGGCCCCAGAGACTCACCCTCTGTGTCCCCTGATTGGCCCCTTGGGTCATCTGGAGGGGGATAAAAGGGGTAGCATGGCTGACTCAAGGGGGAGACCAGCGACGGACCATGAGGAAGGAGCTTCAAAGAGCTGGCAAGAACTGAGCCAGCGGGGTGGGAACAGTTGCCCCAGAAGAGCCTGAAGGAGCAGGACCTGCAGGCAGCAGTTGGACCTTCAGCAGCGCGGCGTGCGGCCAGCAGAAGAGGCTTCCTGCTGGGCTCCAGGATCACCTATGAGAGGCTGCAGCCAGGAGGAGAGGCTCCCCTGCTTCAGCAAGGATCTGAGCAGCGACCTGGGAGGTTCCCAGCTTGGCTTCCAGCTCCTCCAATCAGAGGCCAGGCAGCTCGACATGAGGTTGGGGTTCCAGGAAGGCCAAGACCATAAGCAGCTTGGAGCAGTGGTGGCTGTGTGGCAGCACTTCTGCCTATATCTGAGAGATCTGAGTTCAAGTCCTAGTTGGTGTGACTGAGCTAAGAAGAAACAAATCTCCCTGCAGTGGAAAGGGGCCATTGTGTTTTTTTTTCCCCCCCTCCAAGTACCTAGGCCCTATATTTCCTTGTCATTTGACATTTTGTATTTTGTGCCTTTTTATATTTCCCCAACCAATATTGTTTGCTCTGCTGTTTGTGTTTTATATTTTGTTAACCCTGTCTTTTGTTAATGAATGTAAGTGTCTAACCTTGGTTGAATCCTGCCCCCTTGGGACATTGTAGTGTCCACTATACCCTCTGCTTATGCCTGTTATGTTCCCAGTATTGTTTCCTCATTAAAAAGTATATGGTTAAGTCCCCATTGGTGGTCTGGCTCTGCTCTATAGGGGAAGGAGAGTGCCTACACCTCCCACAGTGCTTGTGCACCTGCTTTGATCCCTTCAATTGGAGAAGGGGTACCTCTTGGAGTACTGACCGGATTACACTATATTTACAATGTTAAAGCAATTTGGAAGCCTGCCAGTGTGTGTCTGGCATCATAATAAAATTAATCCAAAATATCTATATGTTTTAATATTTGCTTTTCATTTTCTTATCACATGGTGGGTGTGTGATGGTGGGATGTGGGGTGTGCAGGAGGGGGTGGGAAAGCAGGGTGGGGGGATGTGTGTGGGTGCATGGGCAACTGGTGCCTCCTGACTCTGGGGGGGCACCAGATCACTGATGTGGGGGAGGTCCCCCAATGGCTGATCACTGATGGGGGGGTCCCCCAGGACCTGCCAAGCTCCCGCTGCTCCCTCCCTGCACTCCCTCCACCAATGCATCTTTGCCAGGCACCCAGGGCAGCAAATCCTGGTCCCTGCAAAGATAGGCTTCCCTTGCATCCTTTGGCAGGGCCAGTCCTGCCTCCTGCTCTGCCTCCTGTGCACCACCCACCCCTGCAGTCCCCACACTTGGCGGAGCCACCACTTGCGGAGGAGCTGGAGCCCCAAGATGGGCAGGCACTTGTTTCCCCACAGGATCGGCAGCCATAGGGTCCATGGGGGAATCGGCGGCTCCAGCTTGGGACCAGTGCAGGGCGGGGCTGGAGGAGCCTGGACATGGGGTCTAGGGCCATGTGGGCCAGTGGGGATGAAGCAGGGAAGCAGTCCCTTGCCCTAGGGCTGGGACTCCTCTGCAGTCCCCATGTCCTGCTGACAGGAGCTGGGTAGACCCAAGGCAGCAGCAGAGTCTGCCTTCCCCTGCCCCACTCCTGATGCCTGGCCCCACATGCGGGGCTGCCCTGGCATTCATGCCCAGGTGGCCCATTTATTAGTCTGCTTATGCCCAGCACCTCCCCTCCCCCAACCCTCACTCCATGTCTGGCCCCATGCCACCCACCCTCCAGCCCCTGCTCTGCATCTGCCTGACCCATTCCACTGGAGCCATGCCCCACCCATCGTTCTGGACAGGCATTCCTCCTCCAGCCTCAGGTGACTGGTGGTGTTGGTGGCAAGGGTGGTGGGCAAGTGGCAGCCGCCCACAGGCACTGCCGGCAGTGTTGGCGGCACCTTTTCACATGAGGTTCATTGACATGCTCAGGGGGTGCACGTGCACCTGCATGCACCCCCTATGTGTCACCAATGTGTGGGTGGGTGTGAGGGGATGCGGGTTAGTGCGTGGGTAGGCATGGATGGGACTGTGGGTGTGGGAGCTGCTTAGGAGAGGTAGGTCCCCTGTTCCTCCTCAGGGCAGAGCCCCCCCCCAGCACATGGACTACCCTGCCTGCAGGGTCCTGGTCCCCACCAGGGGCT